GATTACCGAACCTAAGATTATGGTGTCCCTTAATATTTCATCTAATTATTGCCTTTCTCTTTTAACTTAGTTTAATGGATTAAGTTGTTAACCTAGAGTCCTAAATTATTTACAAGTTTTTGTCAAGTTTCTCATAAAAATATATCTCATAATTAATTTACTATATGTCTATACAAATTAAATTAAAGGTAAATTCATTAAGTTCATACTCTAATTTTGACTACGTATGGCTTGTAGGTGTATGTCTACCCTATCTGTAAATCAAATCACCTAATCAACTAACTGCATTCGATCATATGCTATTCTATTCAAGGTTTATCTAAATCTCTTCCGTCAAGGTTTAACCTAGATTACTAATTCAATCTAATTGGTGATCAGGTAATTAGAAGTATTTAGAATAGAATAAAAACAATTTAAATCCATTAAATAGAAGTAAAAGAGAGATAAATAAATCAAATTATATATTGAGTTCAATTATAATCTTAGATAATTGAATTAATTCCTCATCAAGTCACACATCATCATCAAATAAAATTTAAACATTAAAAAAATCAAGAAAATAAGTGAATAAAAAAGATAGAAAAACTCAAGAATTGTAATATTGATCTCCAAATCTCCTTGAATCCTTCAAATTCTTCTCAGGTCCAATAAGGACTCTGCGACTTGATTCTTAGCTTTCAATATGATGTTTCGTTCTCTCATAAACGTCTTTCGAAAGTTTATTTTTATAGGGTTTTGAAGTTAGGCCAATTTGGGTGAAGAAAGCAGTCAATTTCAATAAGGATTTCCTCATCAAACTACGTGAGCCGCGGTCTCAACCAATTAATTAGTAAAAATCATAATTGCTCTAGGATTGCTGTAGTACTTCAAATTTGAAAAGATTTTTGACCACTTTCCAAGCCGAACTGGGAAAAGTAGTAAACATGAAAGTTGTAGATTTTTCTCTTAGCTTTCCAATGGTCTAAGATCATCTCATTTGAAGTTTTATAAAGAGAGTTGTAGTCAAAATACCTAAACATATGCAGTGAAAGTCTGCACCTCAAAATTGCTCTCCTTCTTTCATTAAAATTCTTCCTTCATTAAACCTACAAAAGCACAACTAGATCAATAACAACCTATGTTAATCAGATTAACATCACATTAATCATAAAATTACTTAAGATTAGATTGACTCACCTAAATTAACTAACCTAAAATAATTAAATAAAACCTACTCATTTCTATGTATTACTACAAGAACTACAATAAATTACTATGAAAATTAAGTCCAAATAAAGCTATATTAGAGAGTTATTAGGGACCTATTTATAGATTAATAATTCTTTAAATCCTTATCTTAATCTAGGTCAATCTATATCCAAATTTAAATATACATAAACAAATCTAAGAATTCAAATCATATTGCACTTCTAGTGTTTTGCTTGTTGTGTTGTTTGACTTGGTTTAAACTTCTTGGGTCATAATATAATTGATATTCAAACTTATATATTAACTCCATGTGTTTTTTATGATAACAAAATATTCCCATTCATTGATGTCTAAATACTTTATTTAAGTGTGTAGGACAAAGTTTAAAACCATTAATATATTTGTTGTTTGAAAGCAAGTTAAAAAGCTTGCTTAATTACAAGACAAGTTAATCAGTTAAAGAAGCAAGGAAAAAAAGAACCAAATGAAGACAAAACAATGTTAATTGTTTAACATGACGCTAGGTGCTATACAAAAGCAAGATAGAAAAGCCTTAATTAGTTAGCATAAGACTTAACTGATTAAGAGCGTACTGCAAGCGAAACATAAAAGCTCACTAATTATTTAAGCACAGGGGCTAATTGGTTAAAGCTTAAACTTGAAGCACCTAGAAGCGTTGAAACTCATTCAAAGTGATGCTGACCGTCCAAAGGTGCCAAACGAAGAGATTCAAAGTTGAAGAATTCTTGATTGGAGCCTATTTTAATCAATTAAGGATGAAATGAGAGAGGTGCCAATTAGCTAGTAAGAGCTCTAATCAGTTCAAGAATGATTAAAAACAATGTTTAAAGGTGCTTAAAAATAGAAAGTTATTAATCAGTTAATTGGTTGCAAGTCAAAGGTTGTCTTTAACCAGTTAATGAAGCATTGTCAATAGATTTGAATTTAAGCACCAAAAGACAAAATTATAGTTAAAAACTATTTGTAACGACTAGTTTATGTCTTCAACGATTAGAACTGATTTTCTAAGTATTTAAACCCTTTCTAATGGTCGAAAAGGGTTAAGAGAAGCTACCAAGAGTTTAGAAGAGCTAGAAGAGCAAAAACCTTTTCTTTTACACTTGCATTCCACTTCTATCTTTGTGAAAGAATTTGTGCTGAAGTTTGTACAACTTAGATTAGTTAGGTGATCATTTGTACCTTCTTTTATCTTCTATTTCTTGTTTACTTAGAGTATGTAAGATACTCTAAGGGGTAGTCTAAGCAAAAGTAAGCGTAGGACTTATTGTAACTGGGTTGGAATTTGGGTTAAAAGCTCATCCTATAAAAGTCTAGTGAAAGCTTCTAATTCCATTGGATCTATTGAAGTTAGAAAAATCTTGAGAAATCAAGGTAGTGGATGTAGGTTAACTAGATCAAAAGACTATAACTATTGTGTTTTGTTTACTTCTCTTAACCTCTTTTTACTTGGTGTTTTGCTAACCTTAACAAATTTTCAAACCATTCATTTTAAATCCTCCAAACAAATTTTAAATTTCAAAACCTACCCTCAAAATATTTCTAAGTGCTATTCACCCCCCTTCTAACACTCTTTTTAAGACTAACAAGTGGCATCAGAGCCTAACCCTTTGATTTAAGACTTAACATTTGTAAGGGAGATCCAATGGCTACACAAAACACAAATGTGGCTAAGGGACAATCAACAAATAGGCTTCTTCTGTTTAATGGATCACTAGAATATCAATTTACATTAGAGCTATAAACTATGAGATATGAGATGATATTACAAATGATCCTTACACTTCCACTAGCACAAATCTGATCATGGGCTAAAAAAATCTCAAATCTAAGGAAGAATGGATTAAGGCTAAAATAAGAAAAGTCTAAATAAATTTCACATCCATCAACATTCTTCATTGTGCTTTCACCCTTGTTGAATTCAACAAAATTTCTAGTTTGGGAAAAGTTTGGAATTATTCATGAAGGGACTTTTCAAGTTAAGGAGTCCAAAATCACTCTTCTCACTCATAATTATGAAATGTTTAAAATGGAACATAGTAAGGACATAACTTCAATGTATGGTCGATTCACTAACCGAGACAATAAGCTTCATCACCTCAAATTCAAAGTGATGTTAACCATCCAAAGGTGCCAAACCAAGAGATTCAAAGTTGAAGAATTCTTAATTAATTGGAGCCCATTTAATCAATAAGGATGAAAAGAGAAATGCCTTAATTAGTTAGTAGGAGCTTTAATCAGTTAAAAATGATTGATGAAAACCCGTGTTTAAAAGTACTTGAAAATAGAAAGTTATTAATCAGTTAAAACTTCCATTAGCTATTTAACAAAAAGAACTAGTGTGCAAGTAAGAGAAGGCTTAATCAGTTAAAGCTTGTCTTTAGCCAGTTAATGAACCATGCTAACAAATTTGAATTTAAACACTAAAAGTAAATATAATAGTCAGAAACTGTTTGTAATAGCTAGTTTCTATCTCCAACAGTCAAAACTAATTTTCCAAGAATTTAAAGCCTATTTAATGGTCAAAAAGGGTTAACAGAAGCTACCAAGAGTTTAGAAGAGCTTATAAGACCAAAAGCCTTCTCTTTTACACTTGTATTCCACTCCTATATTTGTGAAAGTGTTTATGCTGAAGTTTGCACAATTAGATCTATTAGGTGATCATTTGTACCTTCTTTTATTTTCTATTTCTTGTTTACTTAGAGTGTGCTAAACACTCTAAGGGGTAGTCTAAGCAAAGGTAAACTTAGGAATTGTTGTAAAAGGGTTGGAGTTTAATTAAAAGCTCACCTTGTAAAAGCTTGGTGGAAGCAGTTAATTCCATTAGTTCTAGTGAACTTGGGTTGAAAATCCTTAATTGAGAAGTGTTGTAGGCTTAAATCTTATATGAATTTAAACTAACACACAAGTGCACGTGATGTGAACAAGTAATAAAGCAATAAGTGCAAGTATTAATCCCATGAGGTGTTGGCTATATTTCTTCAGTAAGTACTAAAATTGGGTCAAGCTAACCTTATCCAAGCTAACCAAAGTGTGAAAAATGATTAAAATAAACTAATTAATTAAGCCAATTATAGAAATGTAAAGCAAAATAATCTAGAAGCAATATTTTAAAAGTTTAGGATTATGGTTTCAATCAACATTTCAGTTGGACTGCTATTTCTCTACTTGTTTAATTTAATTGGGATTGATGCTAGTCTAGAATCCTAATGCATATACAATCCTATGTACAGGTATTTATATAATTGCCTAAATTAATTGGGTTTCTACATGTCTGTAGGATTCAATTAAACTAGGTTCTTACCCAAACCTAGGTCTAATCTAAACTAACTTTGTCAAGTCTCGTTTAGATACCACAACCATTCAATTAGTGATCAAGTAATCAATGGTCAATAAATTCATATTTGAATAAACATCAACACACCCATTCAAAATAAGTAACAAAGCGATAAATAATCCACGTTACATGTAGAAATCTACCAAAATCCTAGATAAAATCTATTTAGTTCATCATAGTTACAACAAAGTTCAATATTGCTAGAAAATAAATCATTTCTACAACGAACGATAGAGAAATAAAGGAAAAACTAGTGAGAGAAATGAGTTGTTGCAACTTTTGGAACCAAATATCCTTGGTTTCCTCTCTTTCTTTTGTAGAAACCCTCTTTTTTCAATAAATATTCTTTACCTCCAACCCTCAAAAACCCACTTAAAATGGTATATTTATATCACCCATTAAAAAGCCCTAAATGATAAAAATGGACATGTGCAGAATTAATTCCCCGTGCTATTGCCTAGGCACCGAGGGTTTGGTGGTTGGGAACTAGGCTCTTTGTCCCTAGTTGTTGCATGTTGAAGGGTGGCCTACGCCTAAGTGCTAGACCCTTTGTTTGCTGCTGTGCTGTTTGCAACACTCCTTCAGCTTCTAATGCAATTTTGACCATGATCCGATCAGAACTGACTGAAGTGATAAACACGAAAGTTGTTACCTTTCCTTTTAGCTTTCTAGTGGTCTAAGAATCACAGTGATCAAACCACTGGAAACACATCAAGCCATTTTTCACGGTTCATCCTTAAATGAGCTTTCTTGCACATAAAAACCTTCAATAATAATGCGAACAAGTCAATGATGGTTCAAAATGGGATTTTTAATATGAAATTAAATTCAAATCACTTGAACTAAAATAATTAAACATGCATGAGACATATTAATGAAAAACATGAAAATCACCTAAATACAACGTAAAAACACAAGGACTTAGCTCTTTTTAAGCCCAAATATAGCGCAAGATAACTCTATATAATAGAGTTATCATACCATCAAACTTAATATTTTACTAGTGTTCAAGCAAAACTTTGAAACAAAAGAAAGAAGTATGAAAGGTTAAACCAATTAACCATAAGTCTATTGCACCAAATCAAGGTTCAACTTTTTAATTTCCTCATCAATTATCTTATTTCCTTATTCAAAGAAAAGAATAAATTTTGCTCAAGTTTACATTTTAACTCAATGGAAAACATGTATTCAAATGGATTCTCGTGTGTGTGTAGTTTCTTACAATGAATATCATGCCATTCGGATAGGTTTATAGTTTTTCAAATTCAAATTAGTCACGAGTTTCATATGTTTGCTTTTCATCCCTCTTTCCATTAATATGGGCTAACACTTACTCAGGGATCCTTTGGACTTTATCAAGCTTCTAACATATGGCTAGGGTTAAGGTAGGATTTAGGAAAATACATAGCTTAAATCACCTTAACCATATAATCATTTTATATTATGACCCAAGCCTAGTGGTCTATGATCCGAGCATAAGCTTAGCAGGCAAAGCCCACGAGACTTGAGCAAGCCTTAGGGTACAAAATCAAATAACGTATAGCCAAGGTTCAACTTCAACATAATACACAATATCCTTGGCACACAATTCATACAATCATCATAAGGTAACACATTGACCATTCAAGGTGGGTCGTACATAACAACCGTTAGTACACAATATTACATGGCACTCATGTTAGTTAAATTTTACTATGCAAGTATACATATTGAATGGACAGTATATTAGCAAGTAGAGTATCGATCCCACAGGGAATTGATCTAGAAGTTTACTAAGTACTAAAATTATAGAAAATTAATCTTATCCAAACAATCAATATCAATAACCAAATTAATTAACTAAAAACACTTAACCAAAATTTAAACTAAAAAAAATCAAAATAATAAATACTCAAGTAAATATTAAATCAAACAAACCTAAGATTACAATATCCCTTACACTTCATTTAAATCTTACCTCTCTTTCTTAACTTATTTCAATAGTTTGAATTACTAACCTAGAGTCCTAAATTATTTATA